TATGTATACTGCCTGCCCCTACTACTCACCCCAATTTTAATTTTGACCCTTCAGTAAATGTTTTAATAGTTTTTTCAACATCTGTACAGTACCTTAAGATAAAAATACATACAAGTGTGCTTATGGTATAAAAGGTTGTAATAAATCCCCTTATAGAATTCCAAGAGATGATTTCAAGCTTCTTATTTAATAAGCATTGCTGGAACATTTTAAAACGTTAAGAACAGTCATGTTTGTGGGTGTATTTGCATAAAATGTCAGAGGGGGAAAGAGAAGGCAGGTATCTTTCAGTATAATTAACTCTTAATATTTTGCTGATAATTTTCTATTTGATTTGCTACCATCATTGATTGATTGAGAAGTAGATTTAGGAGTGTATTACTTTCCAAACGTTATGCTCTAACTTTGGGAGGGCACTTTGCAAAAGCCTTACTGATGTCATTGGTATGAAAAACATTCATTAGCAATTCTGGAATGTGTTAGAGGAAAACGTACTTTTCCTTTATTTTCCTGTGTGACATAGCATTATGCTGTAAGGAAGAAATACAATGTATATGTTACAATTATTGTGCATTCTTGTAACGTAAGAAAGATAGCTCACCTTCAAATAAAGGCCATTCCTGCAAGTTTTCTTTACTTAACAAAAGCCAAAATTTTTTAAAAAAAACTTCCAATCAAACATCAAATTGGCCTAATAAAAGTATGAGGCTAGTTTTCATAGTTAAGTGTATAGTTTTGTATATTATCCAGATATATGAAAGAGGTAAATAATCTTGACTCATGCCCTATGAAGAATGCATAATGAGGTCTTGATTGAATCAAATCCATTTTAGACAGGAATTATTTTTTATAGGGTAGTCTTTAGGTTCAATTGTAATTCCATTTGAGTCTGGAGACCATAGCAGAATTGCCCATTCCTTCCTTTCCCCAAAACAACTTCCCGAGTACTGCATCTCAGCTTGGTAGAAGGAGAATCGTTTAGAAATGCATTATTGTTTTTATTGGTCAGGACACTAATGGAGGTCTTCCATGACAGCTATGTTTTATAAGCTGAATACTCTAATTAGGCTGGTTACTGATCAGTTGTTGGGATATTGATTGTGTCATTTATCAAAGAGCTGGAAAAGCAGATTTGTTGTTAGTGCTGTTAATTTAAGGCTCTCTGTCCCACTGGGTACAAGTAGTAGTTTGGATGTTACAAGGCTTTATTTAGCTAGCAGTATCCGTGTGAAAGTAGTAAACGTGGGCTTCATGACGTAAGGAATCTTATGTAAACGAAAGAATTGCCAGTAACAAGAGGAAACATAATTGTCAGTGGCTGTGTGGTGCGTGTGTTTGTGTACAGAGGTTCAAAATAGCCTTTTCAAATGGCTCATGCTGCCCTGAGAAAGAGAGAATGTTGCATGTCCTGACAGTCCGCTGAGACTGCGTTTGTAGCCATATTGTCACCAGGAGCATCCCAGAATTGGTTTGTGTTTTGAGGTGCATTTCCCTCTTCTTCTTCTTCTTCATTCTTATTATTATTTTACTTTCATTAAGCTTGAAAGGCAGATTGCAAGGTGATGTAATACGCTCTCCTTTCTTATGCATTGGTTTGCAGGCAAAAACTTGCCAATGCGTTAAACCTCTTGCATCATTTTACAAGGAAATTACATGGGTTAGATACGTACATTTCTTCTGTAGATGCGACTATGAAATTTAAGGAATAATATATTTAGTGTAACATTTGCTGGCATAATGAACATGCACTTCAAAAATAGAAGCCAGTTGGAGGCCCCTTCAAAAGGAAGATATAAAATCACAGAAACTATAAAGGTTATTTTGAAAACTAGCCATAATATTCCCCTGCGTGGGTTTTCTGTTTTCACTGAAAAACGGGTACAGAAATGTCTTTCTGGGTCTGTCCCGGTTTTAGAAACTGTGATGATGATGATTTTTTTTTTTTCCCTTTTTTCTTTTGAGCAACTGCTCAGGAGAATAAATTAGGTGATATGGCATGTATGGGGGAGGGGAAATGTCTCTGAAGAAAAGCTGACTAGAGGTGTGACAGGAGTTTGTTTAGCTGCTAGCCAGAAGACCTGCGTTTGGGAGTTGGGTGTAACTCTTTACTTGCAAAACTGCGCTAGTGTGTGATCATCAGAACATATGCAGTCAGTCTCGGAGAGAAGGGAACCAGCTGGCTGGCAGAAAAATACCATTGGCATTGCCCGTGTTCTTGTGTTGACAGTGTCACAAGCTGCCCTTCCAGATGGAGAATTTGAATGAAGCCAGTTGTGGGTCATAAAAAAAAAAAAAAAAAAAGTCTTCGTTTTTGTGCATCATTCTTAGTGATTGTTATTGCTTAGATATTGTCTTATTTCACAGTCAGCAAAAAACGATAGTAATTTTGAGGATATCTTTCAGGTTTCTCATTTGAAAGGAATCAATGTACAGTGAACACACTGCGTTACGCTGTGTTGGTGCACTGCCTGGAGTGACGGCTGATCTTCTGCATTGTTGAACATGTAGGGGTTTTGTTACAACGTGTGGTTCTCTTTTTCCCTTAGGAACGCTCAGACCAGGGAGTCTTTCAAAAATCAGCCTTTGACGGGACTCATAACTTCACAGCTGCTTCCCGACGCAATGATACTATTCTTCAGCAATTTGTAACGTGCGGTCCTCAGGAAAGAGCAAAAGGTAGTCTCTAGATATCCTTCTCTGTGCTAAAAGAAAGTGCTTTGTGGTTTTGTTTTCTGAAATCCACAGCCCCTAGTAAAGCAGTTAATTAGAGTAAGTGCACACTATGTTACTTTGAGTCTGGAAGATCCAGCGAGAGTGGGAGAGCTGACTCAGAAGTTGTGAATTAGATTCCTGGCACAAATTCCAGTTTAAGTAACAGTTTCTAGCTCGCTGCCCCAACACGTAAGGTTGGATAAAAAACAAATGATGAGTGCAAAATATATGTTGTCAAAATGTTTATTTCCTATATAATTTTAATGAGTACAAGGATTTTTGCATTGAATTCTTAGATTATGTCCCAGGTTATTATAAGCTAAATGAATTTATACAAAAGCATGATATTTATAAAATACGCTTGCTTATTCTAGACTTAAAGGAAAAATTTGTTCAAAGATTAGAAACATTCCCTTAATTTACAAATTGGAATTATATTAATGAACTCATGAAAAAAAAATAGGTAGTCGTGTACATTGTACAAATAAAATCTACACATATAAGTGTATGTAAGCATATGCATAAGAGCTTTTAACACCACTTATTTTCCTGTCGGCTTTCATTTCTGATGACATACTGTACTGTCTGTCCAATTTGCACCTGACTCAGCAAGATACTAGTTATTTGAAAAGTTTAAGTATTTGAGATGGTCTCAACCCCTCTCCTTTTAAGTGTGCTCTTATCCTTCAAGCCAAGCACATACTTAAATACCTTCCAGTAGGAAAAAAATATTTTCTTTGACATAGTTGAATTAGGCATGATTTTTCCTACTTCCCTAGAAAACTGTGGAATCTGAGTGGCCTGCAAAAAGTAGTTTTATAGGCTGCTACAATGACTGTGTGGGATACTTTTAAACAAAACCAAAGAGCCTGTATCTGTAAAGCTCAAGAGAAACTCAGATGTAATTTAGGGGTAAATTATTTGTGTTGACTTCGATATTTTGACAATGTGACTCCAGGCAAAGAATTAGATATAGACTTGAACGTTGTAAATATTCAAAGATCAGATCCTTTTGTTTAGATCTACCTTATATTTCTCTTGTATGGAGTTTACACTGATTCTGTAGTTACAGGAGAAAAGGGTCATCCTCGAGCTAGCCAGCCCTGTAGAGTTAGCCATTGCCAAAGGATTAGAAAGCAGCAAATACCTTTAGACACTTCCTTTAAGACATGTAAGCAACTGCTCTGGAGACATTGATACAGGTGAATGGCAACAGGTGACTTGTCACTTGAAGTTCAAAGCAAAATTTGTGGAAGAGATGTACTTCCAGATAATGATTCTTCAACTGCGATCCAAAAATCAGGATGACTAGTTTGCTGCTCACTTGATAGCGTTGTTTTCAATAGACATCTTTTTAATTAAAGAATGATGATGATAGGCATTATAGCAAAAAAATGTGATGACCTCAGAAGAGAATGTGTGTGGGACGTGGAAAGGATGCTCTGGAGTGCTGCTGAGGGCTATTGTCAGGGAGGGTTTGACATTCAGGGTCTTCCCAGCCATGGCCTGGTGGGAGCAGTTTGGAGTTGAAGAGAGTGGACAGCAGGTGACTTAAGACTTTTGTAGCACTTAGTATAAAAGTATCATTGTGTTGCAAATTCTGTTGAAGATTTGGCGTCTGATGAGTAAAATTTAAGCGTTATTAATGGAGAACTGCACAGACACTTTCAGCAGCAGGGTGTCTGCAGTAGGGCTTCGGTCTGGAATTTTCTTGGTGAAAGACACCTTGGGCTTACAGTAGTCCTGCACATTGTAGAAATATTTCTCTAATTGTGATGTCACAGTGTTAATTATTATTGATCTAATACTCATTCCGCTTTCCATAGGAGCCTGTCACTTATTTCCAGTCACTGGTTCAGAATTTTTTTTGTGTTGCTTCTTAGGAAGTTTCGTCCTCAGTCCTTCAAGGCATTTGTAAAGGCAAAATGCTACACCTCTGCACAACCCTCCTTTAACTCAGTTAGGAGCCTTAGGTTGTGCGTCTGTTTAAGGATGCGAGTCACAGACGCGGTGAGCGTCTTGTGACAGGTGGGAACAGTCCCTTGTACATTCTTATGGTGTGCTATCTTGGATGTCGGAGTCCGGATGGTACATTTTTACAAAGAATAATAAAATATAGAAGAGATTTTGAACATAATGCAGGGTCTAATGTAAGAATTTAATGACAGGAGCTGCATTACATTTAATAAAATGCCACTTTCTCAATTAATGTTTTCCAATGAGTTATTTCCAGTATTATTCACTGCTCCTACCAATAAAATTCTTATAAAAGCTCAGCAAAAATACACTGAAGCTTGGCCTGCTAATATTGCTGTCTGTTTTAACAGTCTTTTTTATTATACATGAGTAAGAAAAATTAATGTCTGGGGAGAAGTGGTTATAGCCAAAACATTACATTTTGTCTTGCCTGTGGATATTTAAATAAGGGGGGAGGGGATACTGATCCAATATTAAAATGCCAGTGTTTGTTCTATTTTTGCATGAATAATACTTGCTGCCTTCAGGTCCTCACTTCTTTTGCTGCCAAGCTGTTGCACAGATTCAGTGTTTTTTAGAGCAACCTCTTTGAGAAATGATACTTCGCTGCCAGCAGCTTTGCATTTTTGGTGTTGAAAGATTACTGGAATGTGTTTCATTAGAGGTTCTTATATATTTCTTATAACACTACGTTATATACAGTTATAGGGGAAATGCTGTCATCTCTCTGGTAAAATAGTAGAATAACCATAAACTGTCTCTACTGCCACGGACTGCCGTGGTTGTACAAGCATCTCTATTTTCATACATGTGTGATAATGTCAAGATAGAATATTAAGTGAAATTTTAAATTAATGTTGAAATTTTGCTTGTAAACATTACATGTATCCTACAGACTCATTCAGTTATTTATTTTCCTAAACTGTTTAATATCTGAAATTTCAATGTATTTTGTTTGGAGGCTTAACTGTTCCTCTGATCATTCTGGATCTGTCAAGATCATTTCCTGAGGTCTTGAACATGAAGCCAGTTGTTGCCTCTTAGGTTAAATGCTCTCACTCTTTTGCTCCTGCTCTCATTTTGCTGGGAGCTGTAGTCCCTTGTGATCATTTCCTCTTTGCTCGGGAAGTCCGACGTTTTTCTGTGTGTATCATTTGTGTACTACAGGAAAAATGCCAGTGGTAACCAGTCACCAAACAGCCTTTATGAAATGACATATCAATTACTGTGAATCAAAGTTAAACTACATGATATGCGCGGTCTTTCCAGCTATGGCTATCAGAGGCTGTTCAAAGAGACTAAGGCACAGTGTAGGGCCCAGTGTGATTTTTATTATTCTTTATTAAAAAAATATTTTAAAAAATTTTTTTCTTCCATCAGGCATCTGTTTCCTACTTTGGATAGTCAGTGGTTTAGAGACTTCCTAAATCAGAGGTTCTGCATGGACCATTGGGCCATTGATACCTCTCTAACTTTTAGTCCATTTCTTAATATTTTTTTTTTTAATTGAGTTCCAAAGCAACCTCATGGCAATGAGTTCCATGATTTAATTGCACAGGAAAAAATACTGCTTTGTGTTTGTCGTAGATGTGCTACTTGATAGTTGCACTGAGTGCCTTCTAGTTACTGTGCATGAGACAGTCCGTGAGAACTTGTTTTTCACCTTATGCATAGCTTTTACAATTTCATAGACTCTTTTTGTATCCCCTTTTATTGCTTCTTATTCTAAACCAAAGAATCCTAGTTCATGTTTCTTATAGGGATGTTGCTATGTGTGTCCAACTACCCTCGCCAGCTTTTCAGTATGATTCTGAATTATATTACATCCTCCTTCAGTTAGGAAGAATGAAACTTGGATGCTGTTTAAAAAGTAGGCACACCGTTAACTCTGAGTTCTAGATGGAGTGTTTGAACTTTTCTTAAGGCTCTGAATATCTATTTCCTTTTGACTTCACTAAACGTGTTCAAAGAATGATCCAGTGCACTTCTGTTGTGTTGTTCCAGAGTGGTAATCACTAGAGTAACAGCCTTTGTGTACGTGTCGAGAGTTTTCCCCTACTCCCATGTGTATCACTTTGCAGTCACTGACAGAGAATTTCACCTCCATTTCCTACTTGCTTAATACCTTGTAATCTCTTTGCAGAGCTTCGTAGTCTGCTTATTTTTGGTAGTTCTGAGTGTTTCTACGTGAGTAAATTTTTCCATATTTTGATTGATCTTTCAGATCATTTAATTACATTTGACAGTACGAGTTTCCCTTTGTTCTAAATTCTTTTTACTGTGAGAGCTTGCCATTTACTCCTCATCTGTTTCCTGTCCTTAAATTGCAACCTAAAAGAATGCAAGAAGCCGGTGTGCATTTATGTTAGGTAGCATACCTGTTTTCTGCATCAGACTGGCAATCCATGTTTTTTAAGGTCTCGTTAGAACTCTTTTCCTCATCTGCTCACCTTCACTTTCTTCTGATGATGTTCTTACTTTTCCTGAGATACAGGATTTGAAACTATTTCTTACCTTTCTGATCTTTAGGATGCTATCCAGCCCATAGGAGCTTTACATGATTCTTGAGTTAACAGATTAGACTTTTAGATTGAGAGGTGAATTTACAGGGTGGTAATGAACTGGCCTTCAGCAGGCACAGCAGTCATATTAAATACTGCAGATATGTAAGTGTTGTTGCTTAGCAAACCACTGAATGGTTTGAGTAGTTCATGTTTTTCTTGGTCCAAAGTAATTTTCTGGTGTGAACTGAATGCCTTTTGTAAAGGTAAAGAAGGAATTACTGTAATGGTAGGAAAGTGAAGACTGCAGTTCAGAAATGCCTCTTTCTTCTCTTGCCTTGGAATAACAGAAATTTTTCTTCTTCTGAACTCTTTGCTGAGACTGTGGTTCTCTTCTGTACATGAAAGGTAGTAAATGCTCCCTATCAAAGGGAATGAAAGCATGAACCCACAATCAGTTAGGGTGTAGCTATGTAGAAGTGAAAATCCACTCAAATGGAGTAAAGCAATTTGTGCCTTCCACTCAACTTCACTATAAGCACAAAGTTTCCCTATATTTATCTTTAATTATGCATATGCAAATCTGAAAATCAGCTCTTCAGGAAATCTCAAGGGGTATATTTTCTGCTTGGTGTGATTTTAATTCTTGTTTAGTTAGTTTAGGGATTTGAATAATTTGTGACTCACTTCAGGATTGCTTGAGGCCTTCCAGTCCAGTCATTGATCAGTGAACTGGTGTAATGTGCGTCTTTCTCCAGCTTATTTACCTCCTTTTAAAATTTTATTTCAGAGTTGCCAGGGTCTGATCGTGGCAGTGGTGAAAACGAAACCCCTCCACCTCTCCCACCGCATCCCAGTGAGGATCTGCTGAACGAGGATTATAATCATAGGTTGGACTTTGGCTATTCTTAATAGTTACAGCCCTAATTGCTCATGAGTGGTTGTGATAGCAGTTCTAATTGATTTTAAAATAACTTTTTATTTTGTAAAAATTTTTACCACCATTTTTACAGTCACCTGAATAATCCTTTAATATAATCTGGGAATGTTATTTTAGCATTTCAGTTATTCATAAACTGCAGTATGCCTGCTATCCATAATATATGGATTACGATACCCAGCTTGTGTTCACTAAAACAAAAAGAATCCCAAAACATAATCCCACTTAAAAAAAAGAAAAAGAAAATTGCTTTAAAACTATACCAGTGAGTGCTATGTGTAGATGCGGTGCCTGAAGTCTCGTAAAGCTTTGAAAGTCCTTGGCAAATTCAGTTTGTAGGAAACTGGATATTCCTATGCAGCATGGCAGCCAAAGACATTCTTGAGGTTACAAAATGAAGCATCAGGAAGTTTGAACATTGAAATGTGTAAGGGAAAAAATAATGGGTGCTCTACCAGTTGTAAAATGTGTTGGGTACATTTTTCATATGTTTTAAGAATACCTTTTGTAAATGCTGGTGTGCTTAATGGCAGCTGTGAGTTTTAATTTCTTCAGTAAACGCAGAAGTTTGGAAATGCAGAAAAAAGTATTACCGTTTCGAAGTTCGTAATGGCATGTATTTTGTATCAGGTAGCAGAGGATTCAAATCAAAGCATCATTTCAACCTATCATACTTCTAATGCTGAAAATTCAGTGTTGAACTCTGTTTACTCATTTTGTACGTATTCAGTTTTGATAGTCAATGCAACTATTTTATTGCAATGATATTAGGCAAGTATGCATTTCAACTAAAAGCTTAGCCATACTTCTGTCCTTGTGTGCATGACTGTGGTTAAAAACTACCCTTTCAATGACTGATTGCACATAGTATTAAAAGAATAGATAGATTTTATTATGGATAGCTTGAATTTTTCATGCAATGAAGATTCTTGCAGCTATTTTCTTTTTACTAACATAGAATCATTTCACTAGAGTAATGTCATAATTTCTGGTCTCCCACGCAGGTATGTATCACATGGTAAACAAACAAAAGTCTACATAGACTCATGGAACACTGCATTAAATTCTCAACTGCAGTTGTTTGCTAGAATCTGTTCCTAATTTCCAAAAAAGCTGGGAGGAAAAACATTCTCTTAAATTATAATGATGTATTAAAATGATGATGAATTTGCAGGCCCCTTCTCCCACCCTGACTGTTTTCCATTTAGAACTCAAGTTCTGTTGAAATTGAATTGCTGTGTCAAGTCATGCTGACTTCACTGAAATTGCATTTCAGAAAAAAAACGGGGGAAGGTGTTTTGACACTGTAAACCCAAATGTTTGGATTAAACAGTTTGGAAATAATAGTATTTAATTTTGTAACTGCTCTTTGGTTTTAGAGTATTTAAAAAAGAAAATAAATTGCATTTTTAATTCAAAAGAGATGTGGAAGATTTTAGATGCACTGCAGTGAGGTGTTTTGATTCCTCACAGGTGAAAGTTACTTTGAGTTCCACTCAGGTGGAATTTTGAAATGTTTAGATATTTACCTAATTTGAAGTAAAATAATTAAAAAAAAAAAAAACCACAAACAAACAAAAAAAAAAACACACGATACCTTGGATTCTTCAAAGTGTTATGGCACCCTCCATGAGACCTCCAGACTCCAGCCTCTGCATAAGTGGTGCAAAATGCTGTAAAATAACTTTGCATTAGCAGAGGAAGTAGAATTGAGCCAGGTATGTTGGCAGTATCTGTAGCATTTTATTTGGAAATGCGGTGATTAAATAGAACTAGCAAAATGGGTGGAAAAAAAACCCACAACACAAAAGAACCCCAACCAACAGGTCCTAGTATGTTCCTCTTTTCTTCTGCTAAATAAAATATGAACTGTGTAAAAGCCATTATCACTAAGCATTTACATTTATGTTTGCAACTGTGATGAAAAACAAGTGACTGGAGGTGTTAAGTCTCACAAAAGAAAGTTGAGGATCAATAACTGGTTTTAAAATGCATGGCTGCAAGCAACTGGAGGAAGAAACGTGTGTATATTGTGCATGCTTTAATTAGTTCACTTGTGTTTTGAACTGGTGCCTAAATATTTTACATGTCTGTCTTTTTTTTTTCCCTCCCTCCCTGCAGCCCTATCATAAATTCAGCAGTGTATTTAACAGATCAGCACATCAACTTCAGATCTTTGACACCAGCCAAGCAGTCTGAATCAATTAATCTGAAAGCCTCAAAAAGCATGGATCTGGGTAAGAAGGGGTGGGGTGACATCTAGGTCAGCTTTTTAGCCTCAGCCCATCTGCACCATCTCTGCTTCTTGCTTTTGTTTCTTAAACACAAACATCAGGGAGTAAGTTCTGCAGAGGAGCTGCAGTGGTGGGGACAATGGTCTGCCTCCTGTAGAATCTAATTGCAAGTACCCTTTTTATTGAAGCTGAAGAAAGGTTTATTTTTTTTTTCTTAAAGGCCATTCTGTCCCTTGTAATGAAATCTTAGCTGAGAGAAAGAGGGAGCTTTTGTAAAAATGAGCAGAAAGAATTGCTGTACAAGTTTTATGTGTCTAAAAATATAGCAAAACAGCAATAATAAAAGTCATTTTCATGTAGAATATAAATGATTGCAGAACTACTGTGGACAAAGGCTAACTTTCCTAAGACAAGTTGTATATTTCTTCATTGACAATGACAAACTCGGGCAATCAAAGTGTTGCTGTAGATCTTTATAAATGCTTGAAGAGTGGTAAGGTTATGGTCCTCTACCCATCAACGCTGTGCAGAAAATCTTGTAGGGTGGGTGAAACAGAAAGTAAATGGTTCTTTCAAAACTGGGAAAGCATTTGCGGGTGGAAGATTGAAGGGCTATTGCAGTGGAAAACCAAGTCCTGTTTTAATGAGAGTTCAAGGAAAAATTCGCAATGTTCTTAAGCCTCAAAGAAAACCAAATAAGCTTTTCTTTTTCCTTTTAATTTTTCCTTGTAGCAGTCATTCTTTATCTGTTTTTTTTCAAATTCAGGTGTTAATGGAGTAGTTTTGAGACTTGCCAGTAGGATGTCTTTAATCATAGATTTGTGTGTTTTGTTGGATCAGGTTTCCTACACCATTAATAGAAAATGAGTAATTTCATATATAGTTTCAGCATTGCTTTCTGGTGGTGACATTTTGTGTTGGGTTGTTTGTTTTTTTTTTTTATTTAAATGCTCTAGATTGGTCTTAGGTTTTGTATTGTTGATTTTTATTGTTGTCTTAATGCAATTATTTTAATGTAATATAAAATGTGTGGACTCCTCTAATGGAGTGTAAAGAAAGTCAAACAGCTATTAATACATGATAAGAATCCATTTAGGGAGTTCTTAAGGCAGAATTTTAAAGCTATTGCGTGACCAGAGCAGAAATTCATCCTTTTGCAGTTCTGTTCCACCATTTTAACAGAGAGTAATGTGTTAGATTTCTTTCTTTTTTTTTTTTAAGAATGGAAATGCTCCTCAAGAGAGGAATGAGTTTACAGACTTGAGTCAAAACATATATTGTATGTTGTCTGCTAGAAAAAATAATGTTCAACTTTACTGAGTCTTTTTTTAGGAAAGTTTACCTACAGCTCCCACAGAAGTCACTAGAAAGAATGCTCATGAGCAGCAATATAAAATTAGACAATGGGAGCACACTTGAGAGCATACTCAGAACTACCAGGTAGCTTGTACTTCCTTTTGTCCTGGCCTGTGTTCATTTATATTGTGAGATGCAAATAAGCAATCTGCTTTTGACACCCAGAAACAATGCTTCGAGAATGTATATGAGTTGCTAAATCATAGTGGTTAAAAACTAAAATAAAATTGGGTGCAAAAAATAAAATAAAAATTGGATATGAAGGTGTCTTAAGACCTTTCAAAAATTGTTGCTCATAGAAGATAGATGTTGAAAATGGCCCTTCTGCTATGAAAGTAAAAAGCAAAAGAAAGAATCATCAGCCTGATGGAAGGCCTAATGTGCTAGAACCGCACCTATCCTGTCTTATATAAATACTAATAGATACTAATAGATTAGATGTAATACTAATGCTTATATAAATACTAATATGCTTCCACGTAGCTTGACACATAAGGAAGCTGAGGAAGATGAAAGCTAGGACCTTTTGCAGTTATTCTCTAGCAAGCAGTGAAGTACTGTGTTCGACTTTCCACCTTTTGAAAAATTTTCAGCAGAAGCTTCTGACTGGAAGGGTAAAAGGAAAATAAACATGAAAATCTTAAGTGAAGTAGCTGCAATATAAAATGCTTTTAGTGAAAATAAAATCCCAATAATTTGGTATATAGAACCCTGCTTCCAAATAGATCATTCATGTAATGCACACTCCAAAATGGAGTTTTGGGGAAGGAAAGTTAGTTCCTAGTTTGTTTTTATATTTTTGCTAATTACTTAACTGCAGTTGTGACCCATGGTAACTTCTCATCCCAACATGCCGCTGTGTACCTATTATTTATTATTGTTTGCCAAAAGAAAAAAAAAAAAAAAAGTAGTACTGCTGTCTTCATGTTACAGACCCAGACTTGAGGTTCTGAGAATCATAGAATCATAGAGTGGTTTGGATTGGAATGGACCTTGAAGATCATCTGGTCCAACTCCTCTGCCATGATCAGGGACACCTTCCCCTAGAACAGCCTCACCTTGAACACTTCCAGGGATGGGGCATCCACAACTTCTCTGGGTAACCTGTTCCAGTGCTTCACTACACTTCAGTTTAAATCCATCATCCTTTGTCCTGCCACTACGTACCCTTGGAAAAAGATTTGTTCAGCACCACCGTGGAGCTGTGCAGCAGGTTTGCTAACAAAGAGGAGGTGTCCCCAGTCTGAAAATACTTGTACAACTGCTAGGCCCTCCTCTTCCAGTAGTTATGGGATGCTGCCACTTAACTACTTTTCTTTTGTTTTGAAGTTCTGCCAATCTCTTCCAAAATAAATCTAACATGATGAACAGAAAAATCACAGAATTGGAGTCCAGGAGGAGAGCTCTGAGACCTTATGAAATGTGACTTAAATGCAGTTTCTTTGCTTTTAAACCAAATTGTTTCTGAATCAGGTGTCTCCGCAGGGAAGACATAACCAGCCTTTCAGGTTACAAGGTCCAGAAATGACTTGAGTGGCTGTAGACCAGAGTAAGGTCATGAACTTGGACAGCAGAATTGGTGTAATAACAGGGCATAAATGTGAAATCTGTACTGCTATTCACTTCTGAAACATTCTACTTTACCTTGAAACATGTATAATGTGTCCATTGCCTAATTACAGGATTACAAAGGCATGGATGGCATTGCCATCAGAAGGATCATCAAAGGCAGATAACAGAAAAGTTTAAACACAGGAAACCCAAATCCAGATATTGCTATGGATTGTGGACCTTATGAGAAAATAGTAAATTCATTAAATTAGGGAGCTAGTGAAATTGTATAGTGAGGGCCTTTCTGGCTTTGATGAGGGTTGATGTATACACAAGAAGCAAATCTGTTAAGTAAAGACTAGCCTATAATTACATAGACTCACAATGGAAACCCCTTTAACATTGATGTTTATCTTTTCAATTTTATATATTTTAGGCCAAGAAACCTTTGAGTGCTTAATCTGTTTTCCAGTGATCTCTATTTGCAAAATAGTAATTATTGTAATTATAAATTAATATCCTCAGTGAGTAATATCAGGAAATAAGGATGAGTGATCAAAAAGTGTTCAGTACTGCTAACATGTTGCATCAATTTGTCATTGTCACTCTCCAGAGCAAATCTTGCTGTGGAAGGAACTTGGTGCATGCAGCAAAAGCTGTAGGTAACTTGCCAGTAGGGCAGATGTCATTTAGTTTACTGATTCTTGGTGCATTTCTGTATTGTTGACTGGACAGCTGGACAGGAGCAGAGGACATGAAGCACTGCCACCTGGTTGTTTAGGCAGGGCTCTATGCTGTCGTGCGCGTGCCATGAGTCGTATGAACTGACACAAATCTTAACTGCTAAGTTCATGAATAGTATGAATCCAAAAATAGTGTTTTCTGGAGTTGCTGTATTTAAAGAATTCAAGTTTTCAGATTAGTTTTTGCTTGGATCTACTTTAAAAAAATATATAATAAAAATCAGTGGCATGTGTCAGTTACTGAGTTACTGTTGTAAAAGTTTTTAAAAATAGACAAAAGGGACAGTATAGTGGTACTGTGATAACGTATTTGGTTTTGCAGGCATGAGCACAACCTTGCCTCATATGTACAGATGTCCTTGTGTAAAGTGTGTGGAGGCAGGGTGACTGGTTCCCTGCTTCAGCACCCGTCATTTACACAGTGGTCAAATGCTTCTCGAAATTTACTGCTTCATTCAGAGCAATAGGGTACAGATTAGTTCCATATCACCTGTAAGTCCTAATGTTCTTCCCTGCTGCTGTGCTGAGATAATGACAGTGCTTTCTGGATCACTGGTAGAGTTCATGTCCTGTGTCTTATGGTATGTCTCTTCTTTGCCTCGTCTGCTTTTATTTTGAACTGGTGGTCCCAAAAGAGCACAGCCACCCTTTTCCTTCTACTAATCCTGGCACCTGACACATCCGCTCAGTTGCATAATTTTTTTTGTTATGGATGATGGTGTTTGAATGTGTTAGCAAAGAAAAGATTCTTGTTATACTGTGATTTTGAGAATTTGTGCAGGGCCAACCAAAGTCTGACTTAGAGTGCATGCCTGTACTGGCTGAATTTAGACTGCATGCCAAGTTTGGTCTTGTGCTTATAGCATAGTGTTAAAAATAAGCAAAACAAATTCCAAAATGGTAGAAATAAATGTCATGTTGTCTCTTCTCACTTAAGTGGTACACTTTTTTGAAACTTAACAGCAGATTGAAAGTGAAGAAGAAATCAATGGCTTCAATGCAAGTCATTGGAAGGATGATTTTCCCTTTCCTTTAACAACCTTCTATACGCACACAGTTTTCCATACATTATCACAGTTGTCTAGAGAAGAATTTCTATGTAATAATTCATTAGAATCCATTTCCAGTAGTGTTTTTTCTTTCCTTTAACTGTATTAAAAAGGTAATTTTTGCGGAGGAGGAATGGCAATATGAAATTTTTTTAATGTTATATTGGGAGGTGAAAATCTGTGCGCTCTAAGGAAAAGAAAGGAAAGAAGGTGTTTTATTATTTATCTCCAACACCCTTATTTTCCATAAATCTTTATGCACAGGAGTGATTTTGGCTATGCATAAATGTACTGTGAAAACTACAGCTGTGGGAATTGTATTCAAACACATGAAAGTGTGGCTTGTTCTAACCTGAAGCAACATGAAATTGAATCGTATGAGTATATAGCAATTTTGTTGTGTATCAATTCAGGCAAAGTACTATGCAGATTTCGGTTTGAGGATGTTGGTATAACCACCCATGACCGCTATCCCAAGGTACTGCTCAGCTCCTCCTTCCTTTCCCCATAAAAAGCAAAACCCCATAGATCTTGACTGATTAAGCTCTACAGCCTGAAGAAATGGAAATGTCCTTGATTTTAAATGTGAGTGAAATATTATTTGCTAAAACATCATTAGGCAGAGTCCCTTAACCTCGGGGCATATTTATTAAAGGTATCGGCAAACTTAGTTATGTATTTAAGAATAATTAGCGAGTGAATATGCAATATGTAAGGTATGGAGTATTTCACAAGGAAGCCGATATTTAACTAAATGCTAATTTCTTTGTTAGTGAAAGGGATGCATTCGATTACAGTTTATACTTTTTAAAACACCTCAAAACAAAGAGAAGACAGTGTTTCACATTCAGAAGGATGTGGAAAATGCAATCAAGATGCTGCTAGCTGTTAGCTATTCTGTGGTTTGCTCTGAACCAGATTAGTCTTATTCTGAGAGTAATTTTGGATGTTGAAATGAGTATCTCAAAATGTAACCAAATGAGCACCAGGCAGAGCTGATGGAGAATACTCTTCAATTTAAACAATGTTTTGATTCAAATACATTTAAAAGAATACGTTTTGGGAGGTCTCTAGTGAGAGTTATGGTATTAGTGGGACAAAAAGTGGTTTGGTATTTTAAAATCATTATTTTGTTAAACATGTTGTATGTATGGAATACATTTGTCATTGCTTTGGGTTGAAACCAACTTCAGAACTGCATTTAGGAGCCAGTTAGGTTCGTTAGAACATTAATGAGGAAATGGAGAAGAAGATGGCTCAGAATTCTAGCAGACTTTTCAGTGTTACTGGCTTTTAACAGTAATTTAACAAATCATCTCTTGAAGAGAAAGACTTCTCAAAACCAAAAATGTCATGGGTTTAGGAAAAACTGTATTGCTTATGGCTGTGATTGTCTTTGGGATCAAGGGCCAAGAGAGATTTTGAAATTATTCTAGCTTATGTCATGAGTAACTTTCTAGTACTGTCAGATTAGATGTATATTTTCTGAGGCCACTCTGCAGAATAAATTTTTAGAAATTAACACGACATAGTTTTCTTAGTTTAAATGACTTTCAAATTTCTGTTTGTAAGATCTGTAAGTAGGAGTGAAACAAAATCATTTATTAAGAGATAGGGACACTGTGAATTGAGTTGAAATGAGACTGAAATTATGTTTATTCTGTATGAAAAGAAAGGCTTTTAGCAAGGTCAGTTTCATTACTCAGTTTTACACCAAATCTGCACTGATGGAATTGAGCGGAAGGTGAGCTGTGGCATAAAGGCAGAAGTGGCAGGAGGGAATATCAACTTTTTGGACTGATTTTGTAAAATTCTTTAAGATTCAAGGAAGCTTGCTGTGGAGCTGACTGGGAGCATGGTATGAGCTCTGATGGTGATAGAGCTGAGAAGATGGTAACACGTGGTTGAGGTGGTGATTTCTTAAGCTGCTTTATTTTAAGTTTGAAGTGAGTTGGTCTGTTAATGCCCTTAGATTATTAAATTGTTAGATGGAGAAAATAGCACTGAAGTTAATGTATAGCTACTATGTATAGCTACTATGAGAAAGAAAGTACAGCTGATAATAGTGAAGTAACTTGTAGGAACGCTTTGTTATAAATCTGTTCCCTATCAATGTTTTCAACCAGTGAATGACAGATTAGATTAGGAATTTGTGATTTAACCCTAAGAGTTTGGAAGAAGTGTTAATGACATTCAGGAGATATGTAGCACGGGAGTTTGATCAGTTTTAGCCTGATACAGTTTCTCTGGAACAGAGGTGAGAGAGGATTAGAGAAGACAACAAAAGTGTAAAAGAAGCCGTGATGGCCTCAATTAGCAGTGTAACCCTCAAGAATGAGTGGTTGTTGTGCCACTAGAAGAAAGCGAAGAAATTTATATCACGCTGGCTGCAAAATTGTAAAACAATGTTATTTTCTGCCAGGAGAAAACCTTCCATTTAAAGGTAAATGTGTCCATTGGACAGCATCAACTATATTACCGGTTCCCAACAAGAAGTAGTAGTAATAGTGCAAGCTTAGGCATTTTCATTCTCATGTGCTGACACACAAGATGTATCCCTTGGGGACCTTCTGTGAGTACAATTGAATTGAAGTATTAAATCGGTTCTAACAAAATTGTTCTGAAAAATCTAATTAGAGAAAACCTTGTTCAGGTGAGAAAAAGAATCCAGAATTTTGGTTTGGATGTGATTTATTCCTGTCGTTGTGCTGAACAGGGCATCCCAAATGTTGTGTTAGATGCCGTTTTGGAAAAAGCTTAACCATTTTTACTGCACAAGTATAATTTATCCTTAGCCCTTGTGCAAGCTTTTTGCTAGTCTCACTACTTTTCAACGTGGAAGCGAACAGGAATCTATCAAGGACTCATAATCCTTCAAGAATGAGTAGCTGATATATAACCAGGTGACCCCAGAACAGGAGAGATGGGGCCCTTATGTGAAGTTTCACTGCCACTAGAGAGGAGAGGAGGGGAGTTACTGAAGAAAAATTATTTTCAGACAGTGCAAGTTTACCCTTCCTAATAGACATGTTTTATCGCTCCTGTAGGTTTTAGTATAAATGCCTGTGGTCTTTGCACGCAGTACTACAGGGCAAACCTAGAACAGCAAGGAGCGTTTTCCAAGTGATGGTTGTGAGCCAACATTTGACACAATTTCTCTGAGTGATTTATGCCGCTCCTAGATGGGGAAACGCTTCACCAAGAAAATAAAAATGACAGAATTATGTCATTGGCACTGTCATTGGATAAAATTAATTGATGATACAGTGCCTTCATTATGATGAAAGGGCTGGGTGAGGATACAGTTCATCAGAAAAAAACAGTGACCAATTTGTAGCTTTGCTTTATTTTCATGTGTTTATACCATAGAAACTGATGGATTCTAAAAAGCACGGAAGCATCATTTGTAGATGTGGTTTGGGAATACAACCCATGTTAATTGATTAATGTATAATAAGAAACTCTGTATTGGGCTTCCTACAGACTAATAAAGGCATCAGGAAATTTGTTTTCTAGGAAATTCTTTGGTATGTCAGTCTCTCTCCTTATTTCTCATTAATTGTAATTTTAATCCTTGTTTGCTTCTTTTCTGAGTGCAGAACTGCAGATGGTCTTCAAAGGTACGTGTCAGTTTGTCCAGCAGAAATCCAAGTAACTTTTACAGGTTTAGAAGATTTCAAGTAGCTCTTGGTCAATATGCAAAACTGATCCTTCGGAAAAGAAGCACAAAGTTGAACAGTAGTACCCTGTATCTTGTGAATAGTAGTAACTCCTGATACTGGGGAAAAATAATATAATGGCACAGCAATTGAACTGGGCAAAAGGAGGGAAATTGGTTATCACAATTGGCAGCAGCATTGACTTGTGCTTCTCTAAACCATAGTTGGGAAGTAGCTTGTTGACTTTTAAGTAAACCTGGACTGTGTTTTGATGCAAACTTTGAGGCAGTACAGAAGGCTTGTTTTGTACTAAACCATTGAAAATCATGCCACTCAAATGAAATAGCTACCTTGGTGATCTTGAGTGTGGCACAGAAATGGCAATCAAAAGATTACATGGAAGGACATGGATGCGTTGTTGGATGCTTTTACGTTTTTTTCTTATTTTCTTAAAGCAAAACAGCACTCCAGAATATTACCATAGGAAATCCTAATACATCTGATTATTCATGGCATAGAGGGTTGGGTTTTTTGACCGTTTGTTGTGGTTGTTGGCATAGTTAAAAAAAAAAAAAAAGTATCAGTTGTTTCACTATCAGCTGGAAAGATTTGTTTGTTTTAGTAATATTCCATATCTCATAGTCTGTGGTCTTGCTAGTCCCCTAAACGTCCATGCTTTTATTTAAAGCTGTAGAACTTCTATCACTTTTATTTTAGCAATGACTTTGAGTACTGACAATGAACACCTAACCAGCTTTTGTGGTGAAAATGTGGATCCTAAATTATATATCTCGCTACAGAACTAGCTGGGATCATCAAC